CTGCGCTGTGGCTGCGTGTCATTATTATGAGGTGCTGTTACAAGGTGCTGCCCACGAAGAGAGGGGAACCCCTTCGAGAAGGGTGTTTCTTGGAGGGTTAAAATACTGCGTTTTGACACAGGGGCTTTATTTTCGCCGGTTTTGGTTTTTTGAAGAGGCGTTCCCTACAGGCGGTGTTGGAAGGATTTTCTGAGAGGTCTGTCTTGCGTTGCTAGTGCGTAACTGAACTGGGCAAACTGAGCGGCACTTTCTTACAGGAAAGTGCCATGGTGCTGATTTTAAAGATTTTGTAGAGAGGTTTATTTTAAATAAAGAGTATATTATAAAGTCATCCTTCCTTATCATTGCAGCCTGTTGTATGCAACTGAACAAACGCAGGAATGTATGGCAAGGCAAAAGTCTCATTACCACAGTAAACAGCACTTATATTTTCATCTTAAGTATGCTTTTAAATTTTAACTAACTAATCGTTACAGTAGTATTGATAAGTGTTGTGGCGACTGGAGACAGAGGGTCTAAGGTTCACCTTTTTAAACGCACGTACAACCAAGACACGGACCTCAGAAGTGCTGAGTAGGCATTGCTGCCAGTCGGGCATGATTGTTTCCACGATAAAATGAAGCAACCAAAACAAGGGGTTAGCTTCTGGAAATAGTTTCAGTGATGTTTCCTGCCTCATAAAATAAGTCAGTGGTAAAATTGGAACTCGGATTTGCGAAGACGTGTATGTGTGGACATGTTCCACAAGGGAAAAGGGATTGGATAATTGCCAAGAATGCGTACATCAGTTGGTAATCGAGAGGAACATTTACTTGGAAAGGAATGCTGGATAGCACCTGGGGTAACTGTTGATCTTCAGTTATAGAGTCCCTTTAATTTCCAACAGATTCAAAGATCACAAACAACTGTCCTGTAAAAACAAGAGGAGGAAAACAATCCTACTTGGCAACAATGAGGTAAGTTGAGAGGTTTTTTTATACTAAAATAATTTACATTCATATTTTCAACCATGGTATTTGCACTGTGGAAAAACAAGATCAGAACTTCTGTGAAAAAACACAGATATTCACCCAAAAATTGTAATTGGTGGGACTGTCCTGGATTACTTAATTTGATCAGAATTCCCTGCTGAAAGCCTAAAAATTACTAGTGGAGTAACATGAATAATATGTCCAAATGAGTAACTGTTTAATGCCGACCTTAGGAGATTAATCTTGTATTCAGTTCATACTAATCTTGCAAGTAAAGTAGGAGGAACAGATCTGGATGACACATCGTTTGAGGTGCAAACTAGGGAGTGCAGTGGCTACTGGGTCCTGCTGAGTTTACAGTTTATAAATGTCTGGAAAACTGGGAGTGCTCCCTAAGAGGCATGAATGTCGGGGCTACCTTTGTAGGAGCTGCTTCTTAAAAGCTTCTGTTTAGCTCCAAAATTGGGAGGATCCAGAAACGCCTGCCTTACACTAATCTGCTCCCCCAGTTAGCTGCTACAGAGCACCTAGCGCCTGACACTTCCAGTTTCTGCTGAGTTCTGGATTTAGCAGACCAGCTGTTCCTGATGAAGCATTTCTCCATTTGGCCTGTTTCTTTTGCTCTGCCTGTCATGCCCCTGTTAGTGTGTCAGAATCGTATTTTCCACATTAACAACCACTATCGAGCAGATCTACAAACTATTGACAAAACGTCCAGCAAATCAGTGATAAAGATTGTTCCTTCTGTTTGTGGTGCCTGAGCAATGGAAAAAGAAAAAGCATTTTACTTCCTCCTTTCTTCCAGAGCTTTGGAGGAGGCACCTTCTCTCCCTCTTGTTTCCTAGCTCAGGCAGAGCTCCTGCAATGCTGAAAAGTCATCTAGAGTTACTTGAAATTCATTTTCATAAAACAATGAAGTTCAAAGTTAACAAAAAAAAAAAGTTAAAAGCAAGTAAACATTAGAAGCTGATACCATAAGTATCCGTCCTGATAGTTGAAGGTAATTGGCCCAAGGCCTAAAATCATCCTTATTTGTTTACTTGTTACTTAATATTGTGGGAGTTTTGCTCAAGGAAGGGAGATACCTATACGTGGGATTAATGACTTTTCCTTCCCTGTTACTTGTTTTAAAGGTATTTCCACTTCTGTAAGCTTCCAGCAAGAGTTATGGGAATCCGCTTACTACGCTTCACTTCCGTGGTGATCATTGTCCTGCTTCTTGTGGCAGGTGCTTTAACAGCTTTGCTTCCCAATATCAAAGATGACAAAATGCCCAATTTGAGAAGGGAACCAAAACCCCCAAGTCAGTCTGCCTTGGATTCATTTACTCTTATTATGCAGACATACAATAGAACTGACTTGCTGCTAAAGCTTTTGAATCATTACCAAGCCATCCCCCACCTACATAAAGTAATTGTTGTGTGGAACAATATTGGTGAGAAGACACCAGAGGAAATGTGGAATTCCTTGGGGCCTCATCCTGTCCCTGTTGTCTTTAAAGTTCAAACTGTAAATCGCATGAGGAATCGACTCCAGAATTTCCCTGAGCTGGAAACAAAAGGTAATCAGCCGTTCATATTGCTACTAGTAGTATTATTTTCACACTCAAATTCTGAATGCTAAAAGAGAGATGGTTTGAGTTCTGTAATAAATCCCTGGATCTGTTGGGCCACTTAATAGAATGTGGGTAGTATCGAAGAAGAAACCTGTGTTACAATACCAGGTGCACACCACCACCAGCAGCAGAGCAGAGGCTGTCAGTTAAGAGTAAGGAAGAAAAGAAAAAAATGTCAAATGCATTTCATGGGCTTTTGCAGCTGTGTCTGTTCTCTGTTCCCTTTGTCGGGCATACGTGGGTAGTTCAGCCTCTCTTCCCTTTATAGTGTCAACTGAAATTCATAGTGCATGTATTTGTTCAGTCTCTGCATTTGGACCCAAGTCACTGGTAAAGAGTTAATTTAATCCATTCATTTAAAGACTAAGTTCTCAAGCATGTTCTGCTCTTCAGAGAACTCCCCTCCATAGCTGTCTGCCTTTCTATCTGAAATTATGTGTCCTTTTAAAGAGTATTTTCCCTAGTCTTTTGGTTATTCATCTAAATATTCTTCCTAAGCTATTTGCAGGAAAAGCACAACAAAAAGTCCTGTTTGTTTCAAGTGGGAAAAACCCCGATATGTTGCATTACAGACCTGACCTTACTCATGATTAGTAAAGGTAATTCTATTTACTGCCCCCTTCCTAAAACATGCCTTGCTACTCAAAACCCATGACTTCTAGGAAGGCACTAGAAGCTTCCACTTCCCAAGTGCTTCATTTACTGCAATAGGATTTATGCTGACTGCAAACTTAAAAAGCTTTAATGCATCTGGAGTTCTGATCTGAGAATATCTTTCTTTTTCCACTTCCTGATAGTCTTTTGCCTAAAGTTTAAGGCAAAGATTCTTCCTTCTATAGTTAATCATATTGAATGTTGCCAACGCGATTTATTAAGCTCGCTTATTTAGAACTCGCAAGTAGTGAGGAGATGGGTAAAATTTCACACTAAGAATCCTGTATAAATCTCAAACACTAAAGAATGGTATCGAACTATTTATTTTAGTTGTACTTTTACAGATCAGTAGAATTTTAAGTTGCTTTGCCAAACACTCCAAGTTTTCCAACAGACATCCGTCCAGCTGTACTACAGATGATCCAAGGTTGCTGAGTTTTGTTACAACCTGGCAAATAATCTAAAATTTAGGTTTGCTTCCAGGTACCACAAAGCTGCAACTTTGCTTTAGCTTTGAAATCTAAATATGTTTTCTCAGTCTGCTTTCAAGGAGTTACTGTTCAGTTCGGCAATTCAGCTTAATGGTTACAGAAGTTTCACAGCTAACCTGTCAAATACTCTGCTGCGTGCTGTGCTCACCTGTTTAATCTTTTGATAAGTTAAAAGTTTTTCTTTTTTTTTTTTTTCCTTCCTTCAGCTGTTTTAATGATGGATGATGATACACTAGTCAGTGCTCATGACCTTGCCTTTGCCTTTTCTGTCTGGCAGGTAATGTTTTGCACCTTGGCAGGCAGTACTTGTGAGTTACAATTAAGATTAATGGTTTTAATTAGAGTAATACTAGATCGTAATGTTTTACCATTGATTTTCTAGCCGTAAAGTTAAATTGTAGAAGGATTGAAGCGTTGAATGGTAGAAATTGCAAAAATATTCTTCAATAGTAGCCATACCTGTGAGCTATAACTTCCAAATTTTTAACTCTTGTACATGACCACTGAAATTGCTGACTACTGAATTTATTGAAACTGATTTTATTTGAATTGAATAAAAGTGTGTGGTTTTCTTCTCTCTAAGAGAAATTGTCTGTAAACTTATTTTGAGTGCCAAATGTACAGCTGCAAATTGTGGGTAGATGTTTCTTGGCACTACATGATGTGGAATGAGGCATATTGTGTCAGTTTTGTAAAACCGTATTTAATTGCAACATTTATGCAGATCAAAGGATCATATGCCAACAGTTTCATTCTTCCCTGGCAATAATCTTGTGCTCCTCTCTTTTAAAAAAAGCATAATTCTCTCTTATGAATATACTTAAAACACATTTTCATTTCACTGTGTGACCTTCATTTTGATTTTTTTTAAATTTCTTTTTCCTTTCAGCAATTTCCAGAGCATATAGTGGGATTTGTTCCTAGAAAGCACATTTCTACTCCTTCAGGTGTCTACAGTTATGGCAGCTTTGAATTGCAGAACCCTGGATTTGGAAACGGAGATCAGTATTCTATGGTTCTTATTGGTGCAGCATTTTTTCATAGTGGGTATTTAGAAGACTTTCAAAGACAGCCAGAAGCTGTGTACACCTTAATAGATGAAACTCAAAATTGTGATGATATTGCCATGAATTTTCTGGTAGCCAAACATACTGGGAAGCCTTCAGGAGTATTTGTGAAACCTGTTGATATAAGAAATTTAGAAAAAGACACTAACAGTGGCTATTCTGGAATGTGGCACCGAGCAGAGCATTTGTTGCAGAGGTCTTACTGTGTAAATAAACTGGTTAATATTTATGATGGCATGCCGTTAAAATATTCTAATATAATGATTTCTCAGTTTGGTTTTCCTAATTATGCCAATCACAAAAATAAAATGTAAGCCAATGAATTTAAGGGGTTAGATGTTCAACAAAACTCAGTGAATTGTACTGAGTTCAAGGAGAGAAGAAGGTGTAATTACAGCATCTTGGCCATCCTTATTTGTAGCCTCGTTTTTTTTTTTTCCATATGGCTTTTTATGTATTATTTTCCTTTCTTACTAATTCTCCAAGGTAAGTTTTGAGAAAACTTCCAGAATATATACTAATGTTTAGCTGTGATAAAATCATCCTCTCTCCTTAAAACCTGAAAAGCTATTACAATTAATTAGGCCAGTTCTTTAGAAACATGCAGACAAAAATGCACTCCTACCCTTCAGTACTGATGTTTTGATAACCTTTTTTTCAAATTCGTGTGTCTAGGCATATTTTTGATAGTTATATGTTGAGATGCTTCCTTGCCTTCCCCTTCCTCACCTCCTCCTACCCAGTTCCCAGTGAAACTATAGAAGGGCTACAGTGAACTGTTGGCCTTCTAGGCTCCCGTACAAAACCCCTCTGAAGTTTGTATATAAGCTATTTTGTATTCTGAGATGTTCCTGGAGCTGCTGCAAAAGCAACTGTGAAAAAGAGTACCTCACCTTAATCTCAACATAGTCCTAAAACCATTGCCTACCTTATCTACTACTGCTGAGAGAGTGGAAAATGATCTGATGTGGCTTTTCCCGTATCATTAATTTGCCTAGAGTTGCTGAAACACTGCAAGCAGTTGGAAATTTAAGAAACATGAATACATGAAATACGAAACTTGCATAAGCAGCCAGGAGAAATGGAGGGATATTTTTCTTAACACTCTCTTTAGTACTTGGTTTTATTTTGATATTTTGCATGTACATTGTTACAAAAACGTGCCCAAGAAAATCCTCACTTTTAAAATATGTCTTCTTTACAATTCCTAGTAGAGCAAGCGGTTCTATGTTTGTAACTGTACATTTTGTAATATTACAGGTTGGGGTTTTTTTTTTGTAATATTACTGGTTTTTTAACTACCTTTTCAAATAAGTATTTACTTTACTTTTTGGTTCCTTTCATCTTTGGTTTTGGTGGCTGTGACAACAGAATTAAAATGTGCAATGAATGGGTAAGGCATTATAAAAAAAAAAAAGACTGTTACCAGTCTCTGAATTCCCTGGCTTCATCTATAGCAAGAATCAGAGCTATTACTAACAGCTTTCGTTAGGTGGGGACTCTCTAGTTCTGGAAACGTGTTAACATAGACGGGACAAACCTTTTCCATTGCAGTTACGGAAGTTTTTTGTGGTGTGGAGCAAAGAACAAACGACAGTAATTTTCCTGGATCACAGAGAGGAATCAAATCTGGCATCCAAAGTAGATTGTTTGTTTCATCTGCACCAGCTTTTAATTGATTCTTAGTGTCAGTTCAAAGGTGTCTGTGGGCAATCAATAACAGCTAATACCTAGTACACAAATAGCAGCTGCACAAGTGGTGTATAATTTTATTTTTGGTAACAAAAAGTGGTTGAAAAAATGTGACAAGTTCTTTACAGCAGGGCTGGTTCTGGGTGTGAGTCTTTGGGTTTCTTTGCGGGAATGAAGGATTCTTTTGCCTTGTTCTGTCAGCGTTCAAAGATTTGTCTTCTGTTCCGTGAAGTCTTCCTAGTACTTTTGTAAGATTTAAAGGGCAAAATCTTAACATGGCAATGTAAAGTCTGCCTAATTTTGTTGTAATAGTGAAAAGTAGATTTTAATTATTGTGCTGTAATGGTAAGTAGTATACGAACAGGTCTATGATCTTTCCAGAAATGCAACTTTCCTAGTGGTCGTTTACTACATTTCATTTACTTACTGGTCTTCTGTAACTTCTGTGCAGTATCAGCTAGAGTTGTGAAGACTCACAGATGTTGTTTACCTTACTTTTAAAATGTGAAATGAACTGTCAGCTCAGCCAAATCTTAGTATTGGGTTCTTTGTCGGGGGGGTTGGTTTTTTTTTTGTTGGGTTTTTTTTGTTCTGTATCAGTGAAAGAACTAATAAAACAAGCTTTTATTATACTGGTAAATTTAATTTGTACCATTGTCAAATAAAATACATAAAACAGATTTGCAGTGTATTTATTTTCAGATTATTGGCCAAGTTTTTCGGTGTGAGATGTCTAAAGTAAGCCCACAGTTTGCATCCAGAGGAGCAGCACAAAGATTTCATTTTTTAAAAAACTTGTACTTGTTGGCACATCCATTCACTTAATTTAGGTAAGGCCCACTCAAGAGGAACAAAAACCCATCAAAACCCACAGCCTTAAGCAGTTAGTGTTGGATAGCAAAGAAAATTCAAAGGTAAGACTTCAGCTGGATCCATAATTGTGCTTATGAACCAAAAGGGGTTGGTTTGTTTATTTTGTTAGAGACTGGTAACTTTTTATCCCTTGATGGTTATAAAAGTACCTTAAGATTCTTTTAACGAAATTACTAAGAATCTATATTTTCTACAAAATAATACACATGTGATGATCTCTTCTAAGGGATTATCTGGATGTCATTTGGAAATATTTTGGGAGCCTAAATAAATTCATCACACCTCTGAATGTTTTATAGAAATGAATGTTTATGCAACACAGGACTTTAAAAATGGTATCTAAAAGATATATTTAAAAAATCCTTGTTGAAAAAATCAGAATATAGTCTTAAAGTGATGCAACAGGACTACAAGAAAATTGCTTCTTAGTTAAAAAAATGCCACAAGATGTCACTGTAGCCCTGATACTTGATTATCATCAAACTTTAAAAATAGTAAGTGGAAATTATTATGAAAACAAAATTGTATGAGGTGAAAACATTCTTAAAGCTAGCATTTTACAAGGTGAAAATCATGAGCTAATCATACTAAAAGCTATGAGACACAACACTGGAATTGAAAAACCGTGGAAGTTATTTTGTATGTACTTTGACAGGGAAGAAGAGAAAGATTAAGTATTTTCTATGCTTACAAAGGCTCTAGCTAATTGCCACAAATAAGAACTTGCATGCAAACAACACAATATTTGTAATTTTGTGAAAGGTTTATAAGCAGCGTACAAACAACATCTGACAGTGGGGCTTCGGTTCCTAGTTGTGTTTGCCTCCTAGGTTCACAAGCCTAGCTAGGTAGACTTACAAATAACAGGCTTTAACACAACCTACATGTCTAGGGGTTCTAGATACTGGATAGCTAGCCCGTTACACTGCCCCATCTTTGCTTGTGTTGCCCAAGATAACTTTGTTAAAGCTAATTTGAGTATGCTCAAATAAACACCCCTCAAATGCAGTGCAGCACAGACTTAGAAATATATGTTAAATTGAACTCTACTGAAAGTTTTAGTAAAAAATGGTGTTAAAAAATATGGTTCTGGAGAAAATACATTGATATCTCTTTTCTTACAGGGGATATATTACCCCTTAGAGAATTGCTTGTAAATAAAAAAATATTTAATTAAGAATTAAATACAAGTGAAAGTCATACAGAACAATACAGGAAAAGATAAACACATTGATTTCCATGAAAAGCAAATACCCCCCAACAACCTTTATTTAATCTGGTGTTACAGAAGGCTATGGTCTCAGTCTTCCCAGTACTTACTACTGAGGATGAGGTTTCTTACCCAAGTTTACAGGACCAGGCCCCAAAAGAGACATATTTAGGAATATTAGTTCTGGAGCTACGTAAAAAAAGTGAAAAAGAGCAATGTAAGAACAAAGGCACAAATTATTAGGACTCATACAAAAAATAAACAAGCAACTACAAAACAATTGCCCAAGAAAAGTATTTTCTGTAGTACTTCAGCATATTTGTAAGGCTTTAAATTGGCCAGTGCTTATGCCACTAGACTAAAAACTGAAGAGGCAAAAGTGTTTCACACTCGAGTTTTGCCTCATCTGCAGACACACTAGAATTAATTACATGAGCTGGTAGTTAGGTAATTTATAGTGTTAGGAAAACACGGTGATAATGTGGAATTGCTTCGTATTACAATGTCTTTTTTTATGTGTTTCGAGGGTGTTTTTTGTGTTTGAGGGAAGAATAGCATCCTTTTTTCCCCTCCTTTTTTTCTACTCAAAGCACCTCTCCTTTGCAACCTTTTGCTTGTTTAGTGGTAAAAATGAGACGGACAGTCTGCTCTGTTTAGCACATACTTTTTCTACAGGGGAGAGTGACAAAAGCAGAAAGTCAATCTTTGACTTTATAAAACATCACGCTGGAAGTGATTGTGTGTAGTTTTACCACAGCCTCAGAAGCATACGTGAAACTCTTCATGGCTGGATGACTCCTCCGTAAGTGCCCCGCAGCTCCGACCAGTGCGTTCAGAGTTTCAAGCGATGGGGCTGCGCACCGGCCCCCTCTGTTCGGAAGCGGCTTCCCCGAGGTCTTCCTCCCCTTCCGTTCCCCCGGCAGACGCCGCTCCCACCTCACGGCGGGCCGGCTCCGCAGGTGACAGAAACCCC